CCTCTCCAAAGCATCCACATCCTTCTGGTACTGTGGTGACCAGAACTATACACAATATTCCAAGTGTGGCCTAACTAAAGTTCTATAAAGCTGCAGTATAACTTGTCTATCCTTGTACTCAATGCTCCTTTCAATGAAGGCAAGCTTGCCGTAAGTCTTTTTTACTACCTTATCTACCTGTGCTGATACCCTCAGTGATCTTGCACACCCAGATCTCTCTGCATATCAATACTACGAAGGGTTTTGCCATTCACTATATAATTTCCACCTGTACTTGACCTTCCAAAATGAATCACCTCACATTTGTCCAGATTAAACTCCATCTGCCACCTCTCCTCCCATCCCCAGTCTGCAGCATAAATACCACTTTTTCCTAGCTGGTATCAGTTCTGATAATGAGCAACAGGACTTGAAATGTAGACTGTGTTTACTGTCTGCAGATGCTGCCACTTCTGCTGATTTTATCCAGCTCTTTCTGTTTTTGTTACACTTAACATATGTATAAATCTTTTCTCTGTAATAGGGATTAATGCTTATATCTTGTATAGGCTATCATGCATCCTTTGAAGCCTCGTGTATCACCTGTGAAGGGTATGATTTACATCCTTATCATCTGGATTATGGCTAGTTGTTTCTCCCTCCCACATGCTATCTATCAGAAGCTCTTCAAATTTGAATACAGGTAAATAATCAGAGTTGATATTCTCTGAACAAATCAATAGATTTCTGGAGATTAATTATGTCAAATTATCTGGAAATACTTCAGGAAAATCACATTGAAGTAGATAATCAGCAATAAGTTAATTGAACGACAGAGCAGTCTTGATGGACTGAATGGCCTACTTCTATTTGAATGTTGTGATGTTCTAATCTTGGTTGATGAGCTTGCTTGTCCTCTATAAATGTGAATTTGAATATATTGTATATATTTAACATCAACCTCAACTCAGCGGTAGATTGCAGACTGACGGCAGAGTATATGAAGCATGCTTAGCTAGAACAGCCGAACTTCGGATTTATGAGGCAATATTTTACCAGCCCTTTGAAAATGGATTACGACAGTTCATGAACTTGTGACAAAAACTGTTATGAGGGAGGTATAGCATCCTTACATCTAAACTTAATATTCTCAAAGGCAGTTGGCAGGGAGATCTTGTGCTGAAATGTGGTGGAAAGGTAATTAAGGCTATTAAGAAAGGAACTAACTGTTAATAAGCAGGGACTTTAAATGCTACAATGTGTTCATCGCAAAAATGGAGCTTCAGATCCTCACCGATTTAAAGCAGACAGTCAATCAGTGAGGTCTGTGAGAGGCCCTGGAAACTGAGTGCAATTGACTGTACATACGAACATACAAATTAGGAACAGGAGTAGGCCATTTGGCCCCTTTGGTCTGCTCCACCATTAAGAAAATCAGAACTGATCTAATTGTGGCATAACCTCTCATTCCCATCCTCCTCTAATAACTTTTGACTTCCTTGTTACTCAAGATTCTCTGTGTCTCTGTCTAAAGGATATTCAATGACTCTGCTAGTACCATTATCTGGGGAAGAAAGTTCCATGGCTACACTTGAACATGGACTGCTTCAGTCCCTGGGAAGTCACAAACAGAGCATTGTGCAGTCATCAATGAATATCCCCATTTCTGATGTTATGTTGGAGGGAAAGTTATTATTGAGGCAACTGAAGATACTCGGGCCTAAGGCAGTACCTTGACAAACTCCTGCAGTGATGTCCAAAGATGCTTGTTCTCCAATAACCACCAACCATCTTCCTTTGCACTAGTTGGTAGACATGTTCAAAGTCTATCCTTTTAACCTCTGTGGTAGTACCATGCAGCACAATGGAGGATATGCTCTTTGCGGAGATGTTACTTTGCATCCACAAGGACTGTGTGGTGGACACTCTTACTGATACTGTCATGGATATATATATCTGTGGCAAGCAAATTGCTGAGGATGAAGTTAAGTATTTTCTTCTCTCATTTTGGTTCTGTCACCATCTGCCCCAGACTCATCATTTAGGACTTGATCAGCTCCATCAATGGCAATGTTGCCGATCCACTTTTGGTGATGGATATTGAAGTGATTCTGTTGGTTTTACTCCTTTATTTAGATGTCATAGTGGTTTGATTCATTGGCTTATTGGGTCATTTCAGAAGATAGATAAGGGTCAACAACATTGCTGTGGGTCTGAAGTAGGGTAGGTCAGATCAGGTAAGGATAGCAGACTTGTAAGTGGCATTAGTGAACAAGATGATATTTTACAGTTGACAATGGTTATATGGTTGTCATTAGGCTAGTTTTTAATACCAGATATTCCAGATATTCTGAGCTTCATCATGGCAAATGGTTACCAGGAGGATGGAGGAAATGCTTCAAGGAATCCTTAAAGCCTTCCAGAAGAAATGCAATACATCACTGACCCGTGGAAATCTCTAAACCATGGCTGCCCAAACTTGAGAACAAGTATCTGCAAAGGTGGAATGATTCTTCAACCTAGGTAGAGGCCAAGCACAAAAACCAGAAGGAGCTTGCAGACATCCAAGTGTGCCAGCCACTCACTGCTTGAAATGCTACCTGCCCCAATATCGCAAGGACTATCTATGAAAAAAAATCCAGATATTTGTTGAATTCAAATTTTAACCACCTGCCCTGCTGGGAATTCAAACCCACTGGCCCAGACCTATAATAACTATGCCACTACCTCATCTCCCAGTTGTGTTATTTTACACCACTTCCAATGACAGACTGGACATCTCTTCTGCCTCTGACTATATTACTGATTCCAGAATGTTGCCCTACCCATGTGGCAGAGACTATTGTTTCTGGTGTTGGTGCCAGATCTTTGGAACTTTCTGAAGAAATTTCACCCATGATTCCTGATGGTCCTCAGTACTGGGGAATTTTGACACCAAATGTACTTGATAGAGATTGATTACTACAATTAGTTAACAACACCATTACTGTTGTATCGTAGTCCTATCTAAATGCATTCCTGTTGGTACTTTCAGTAGTCCTTGTTTTAAATTAAATCAAGGTCCTATCAGCTCTCTGAGATGATCGTAAAATATTGCAAAGTACGATTTGAAAAGAGTTCACCCAGTGTCCTAGCTAATATTTGCAGCTCAATGAGTATAATTGAAAAAAAGGATTGTCTGGTCATGTGCTTCTAATGGTGCAAATTGTGTGCCCAAATTGACTGCTTGTATTTCCATCCATAACAAGAATGACTGGAGTTTAAAAGTACTTAGTTGACTGTAATGGTCGGAAGAATTGAAGAATGATACATGAATTTTGGATTTCTACTAGTTATCTCTTTTCATTCAATAAATGATTACTTTTGAAGTGTTCAAGAAGGTACCAAAATTTATATACCATTTATACTCGCGTAAAAGTGAAATTTTTTGGACTATATTTTAAAGTTAAATTTATGGTGTTGACTACTACTTGGATATGACTTTTGGGGGGCTGCAATTTATGCTACAGTGTGAAATACCATATCATTAGCAGAAGCCCAGTTGATCTCTAAATGAATAAAGAAAAGAAACACAATGGATTACAGTAATTACCAGATAAAGACAATAGAAACACAAATAAATTAGTATGTTTTTATTTATACACACAAAAACTGAAGTAGAAATATGTACAGCTTTAAATTACAATTACATGGTACATCTTAAGTTAAATATGTCAAATACAAAAGTTCATTAAAATGCTGCAAAATCACACTGTTTAAAATCTTCAGCGCTGAATAAAGCTTCACAATCATCAGGATGAATTATACCATCATATGAATCCTCTTCATCTTCACTGTTCGTGGATAGAGGTAGCACAGCTTCTTCATCTATGTCATCCCATAGATAATTGTCCTCTGTACCATCCAACGCATTGAAATTCCACATTTCTTGAATGATTTGAAAATAGTGTCAGCCTTTATTTCCTTTCATGAATCAATGATCCATTCACAGGTCAGTGGTAGTGATAGAGCCTGCATACTGCCTCCTTTCATGTATGTTTTTCTCCATCACGCATCCAGTTAGTCCACTTCATTTCCTCATAGCAACATTTATGTACAGGAAAATACCTTGACTTACAAATGTTGATCTGTTATCTGTGAAGAACTAGGGTTGACTTTTACACAAGATATATGGAAAATTCCAGATTTTTTGGCTAAAAATAGAGGGTCAACTTTTACATGAGATCGAATTTTACTCGAGTATACACAATACAATATTCTCTGACAGCCATTGCTAATCCCAGACTATAATGTTGATAGTTTAGACAATATGATTAATTGCCTTTGTTTGATCATATATTTACTGTCAAATGAAAACATCCATTCGATAAAAAATATTTATTCACCAGAGACTTGCAAAACTAAATGAAAAACTAATTACTATCATCATAATAATGCTAGTAAGTATTTAGTCAACAGAATCAAATTAAATGTTCATAAATTTCTGGTCATTATGGAAAATGGAAGGAACCACGCAGCAGAACGTCCACAACATTGCTATAAGTTTCACAACACAATTAACATTGATTGATTCAGTTATTTTGAACCATTGAGCCCATTGATAATATCATCTTTTTTTACTTTACATTGCAGCAAAGAAAAAATTCGGAGTTTGTGTGTGCCAAACTTCCCAGAGCCAGCAGACCTTTTTTGGAAGTATCTGGACTTGGCAACATTTATCATGCTGTATGTACTTCCCCTTTTAATCATCACTGTCACTTACACCACAGTTGCCAAGAAGTTATGGCTTCGCAATGCAATTGGAGATGTGACAACAGAACAGTATTTTGCACATCGGCGGAAAAAGAAAAAGACAATTAAAATGCTGATGCTGGTTGTGGCAGTATTCGCTGTCTGTTGGTTTCCTCTGAACTGTTATGTTGTCCTTATTTCTAGTCAAACTATTCACACCAATAATGCTCTCTATTTTGCTTTCCACTGGTTTGCCATGAGCAGTACCTGCTATAACCCTTTTATCTATTGCTGGTTGAATGAGAGTTTTCGCTCAGAGCTTAAATCTCTCTTGAATATATTCAGAAGAGAACATGGAGTTAAGGAACACATACTTCCCTGCACAGCCCCTTCTTACAGGCTAGCCTGGCCTGAACGTAACAACTCCAAGAGGGAACAAGACCCTCAAAGTCTGCACTCCAACAGCAACATCCAATCAGGAAAGACAGATATTTCATCAGTTGAACCAATAGTTGCTGTGAATTAGATCAGGGAGTTCTAAAATTTTGCAATATTGTGCCATAAGCATATAAAAGTGGATTGGATTTTACTGTTATAATGATAGCTAAACAGTCAGAATTTGATATCATTCTTCTGTGAAACTGACAGCAGCCTTTGATGTCTGCACATGTGCAGTTAAACACTGAAATCCAGATGTTGCTATCACTGAATCCCCACTCTTCTACAGAGTGCAGTTTTAAAATCCTCACAATTCAAATTCACTGAATTGACATGAACCTTTGCATCAATAATTAGCATTATTATTCTTGTTGAAAACAAGATTTTGAAAAAGGTGCACAGCATACTATGTCATAATTACTGTTGAACAATCTTTCTAGCCCTGAAAACTAATTTTATATTTGAGTAGTTACATTCTGTTATTAAAAATTCCATGGATTTTTAAGAAAATGTTTTTAAAAGTTAGTTTATGACATTTATTTTCTATCTTTGTGCCATGTGTTTGCCTCATGTTGATTTTGTTTTCCATAAAATTAGAAAAAAGTGAATGATAAAACCTACGTATTATTTCCTGGTTTGCTGTCAGTGGACATTCTTCAGTCTGATTGGCTGTTAAGCCTGCTTGACGACATCATTGTTACTTGACATCAGTGATTTCCTATAGCTGGTATCATAATGAAATTGACAATTGCAAAAATGCTCCTTACATCTTCATGGAAAGCTTCATTTGGAGGTCAATGGTATGGGCTGGAACTACAATGATGTTGTTCCATCAGAATGTCATTGCACAGAATGTTTTGAACCCTGCTAAGAACAACATTGAGAATAGGTTCTTTTTCCAACTGCTATAGACACCAAAGTGAAAACATTTCTTCAACCACTCACAATTGACCATCTGAAGATTAAATAGTCTCATCGACCATAAATGCTAATGACCTTCACTGGAAATAGTATATTTAAGATGAAGACAGAATTATAATTGTTGTGACGCCTTTAATAGTGAACAAGTTCCTAATATACACGAAGAATGCCCATTCAGTAAAGAATGGTAAGGTTGATGAAACCTGCAGAATAGTCAGCATCTTAAAATTGAATATACCAATAATGAGAAGAATTAAGCAACTAACTGATATGTGCAGGATATAAATTATTAAAAAAGACAAACTGAAAGGGATCATATTTAAAAGTGACTTTGAATAGATCCTTGCATGTGTATAAGAAAGTAATGGAAAAACATTTGGATTATATTACTAATAATATTCAAGGAGCTGTGCAGTCACAAAAATGAAAATACAATGACAAATTATTTAATGTGAACAATTTACTGAAGTTTTGAACATGTCATTTAGTATTATAGGGTAAATGTTACAGACTTGATTTATCCTTCCTGCAAAGCCTCAACTATCAGGAGCTTACGTTGGGAATTCAGGCACAGATGTCACCAGGTCACATTGGATTTTCCATTGATTTATGTTAGCTGTTTGAAAATCCAGTGAAACTGATTGACCTCTAAGCTTGAATTTCTGGTACATGCTGTGGTCCACAAAGTTGTAAGTGAAAGTATGAATTTGTAGAGATTGCCCATTGCAAGCATCAGGAATTATATTTTACTTGTACATGATTACTGATTCCAAATTCCAAGAGTCTTACTCTGTTCTTAAATTTATTATAAATGTATCATCCTATACCCTTTCTTGTGTGCAGAATTTTCATATGGCTATTTTGTTAATTTATAAAACTGAAAATGCCTGTTGTACAATGAAAAAATGAATTTTGACCTCAGGCACATGATAGTGAAGGGTAAAAGCTGATAAATTAGCTACTTGAAGTATTCTATGTCATTCACGGATGATTTCAATGATTAGACATCAAAATGCCAATTATTATCCAGTCTGGAAATTGTGTTGGTCGATACAATAACATCGATACCCCTGTATAAGTGGAATCATTTTCAGAATTCAAGGCCTTATTTATTGTAGTCAATAATTCAAGACATTTGTTCAAGTTCTCATTTGTTAATTCATTGTCTAGGTTTTCTACTCATTTTGCACTTTGGCTCCTTCGGTGCTGTCAAATAATAAAAGCATTAAACAATGCCTTCTGTTTAAGAAATTTCTAATATTCCAGTTAAAATTAAAAATGAATTATAAGCATTATTCAATATCAATTTGTTCTTCAGTAGTGATGAGGGGGACATTTTTCACAACTTTGGCTATATATATGATCTAGGATCTCCCATTCATGCCTTTGTTATCTCTATTGCAATATACCTCTGGCCAACCTCCTGTCTGTCACACTCAATATACTTAAAGTCATCTAAGACTCTGTTTCCAAGTCCTAATACACTTCATAACTCATTCACCTATCATCCTTGTGCTCATTAATCTATACTGGCTTACAGTTAAGTAATGCGTCATTTTTAAATTTCTGAATCTTGTTTACAAATCATGTGAAATATTTTAAATGTGTTTTTATACATCAAGTGTACTCCAGGTGCAAACCCAAAAATATATGTTCTAATTAACAGCAGAATCTTTGAATTATCACAGTAGAAAAAAATAAACTTGTCCTAATCTCATGTGTTTTTCTTTTCCCATATCTTATTAATCCTTTTTCATTAACTAACTAACAAATTTATTCATAAATGTTGCCATGATTGCTGCCTCAAACACAAACTGTGCAATATGTTCCACAAAATCAGAACCATCTGTGTAAAGCATTTCTTATATTCTGGGTTGAATTTTCCCATTTTTGGTAAAGTGTTTCCCTGAATGAGATTCACGGTGGGCAGTCCTCCATGTTCCACATTGACTTTTCTCCTTCATTTCATCTCATTAATTATCCAGTTGGTCTCTTTGGCACCCATCCTGTGGAATCATGCATTAGGAGAGGTGGAAGTGCTCGCTGCTGCTGCTGCAACTTTGTGATGTTCATGCCATTGGTGCTGTATTTAATTTTCAGCTCCACACCATTTCAGATGCCACAACCAGGAAGATTCCCTTACACAGTGGTCTTGCACTGTTATGTTTTTTCTTTTAATTAATTCATGGCAAGTGGGCATTGCTGGTCCCTAGTTGTCCAAGAAGGTGGTGGTGAACTGTCTTATTGAATGTTGCAGTCCATGTGCTGTAAGTATATACCAATAATGCCACTAAGGAGGGAGTTCCAGGATTTTGACCCAGCAACATTGAGGTAATGACAATATATTGCCAAGGCAGGATGGTGAATGACTTTTGTATAGTGTCACCATTTTCTGGCACAATCTTAAAACACAGAAAAACAAATCAAAACCATAGAATATAAAGGCAGAGAAATGAAGAAATAAAGAAAAAGTGTTCAACTTTACAGTTCTTATTAAGTGCTCCACCGTGGGCCATGGGCCACGGTCCTGGTGGCCAGGCACAAATTGCCTTTGCTGCACCGCAGCCACTGGAATGAAAGTTGCCACTCTTTGGCGCCATCTCGTCTCCATGTCCTCACCACCATGAGTCTTCGATGGACCTCACCAATGCAGAGACCACCAATGCTGCTGACGGCCCAAACTCAACTTTATCGCCAACACGTGTCCAGTTTGGGCCCACCTCATCAGTGCAGCCGCTGCTGATGCCACTGTGTTTCATACTGGGCCCAAACTCACCTCTGCACCCCCCTCCCCATCCATTAATCTGAAGATGTGGATGCAGACGTTGACGGGAATCCAAATTTGCCTCCACAGCAGCAGCCATGAGTTGGAACTAGGACTGTCTTGTCAATGCAGAAGCTGCTGGGATCCCAAACCCACCTCTGAGGCTGCTGCTATGAGACCGTGCTGTTGGGCTTATTCCTGTCCGCACTGCTGGGCTCACTTGAGTCTGCACTAGGCTCACTCGCCACCTCCGATGCCATTGCCATGACCAGGCGCTTTAGCAAGAGGTAAGTAAAATAAAAAGAAAAAAGAAAGAAAAGACTGAGAAAAGAGAGAAAAAGGAAGAAAAGAAATGCTGACAGAATGGACGAGCCCTGGCCTGAGAAGTACTACTCCACCATTGTACTTGAAGGGGAACTTGGTGGGGTTGCAGCTATGTATCTGCGGTCTGTGTCCTGCTACATGGAAGTGGTTGTGGTTTCACAGATCATCATAGAATCCCTACAATGTGGAAACAGGCCTTTTGGCCCAACAAGTCAACACCAACCCTCAGACCATCCCACCCAGACCCATCCCCTTATAACACACCTAATTTACAATCCACCTAGCCTGCAGATCTTTGGGCTGTGGGAGGAAACCAGAGCACCCAGAGGAAACCCACACAGACAGCTAACCATTGAGCCACCGTGCTGCCCTTTGGAAGGTGCTGTCTAAGGAGCCTTGATGAATTGCTGAAGCACATCTTGTAAACTAGACACTGCTGCTACTAAGTGTCAGTGATGGAGTGAGTCGATATTTATGGATGTGGTGCCAATCAAGTATTACTTCTGAGGTCATGACCAAGAAAGGAAAGATCACTCTCAGTGTAGTCAACGGGGACTTTGAGGTGACGGTTGACAGTTTGGTGTAGAGGAGGGCCATCCTTTTACCTTCTGACCACCAAAGGAAACAATGTCACTAGACTCAGCCTTCTTGGATTGGGGCAATGGTGCGGATCAGTGCAGTGTCCTAGGTTAAAAGAAATGCCCAGCACATAAGGACAAAGGTGAATGATCCTCTGTACCCCACAAGGGTAAATGTGATCATTTTCTGTCTGCTACTTCAGAATCACAGGGCCAGCACTCACTCTAACTTGCTTACTGAACACCTCTCAACAAGGCAGCACGGTGGCTCAGTGGCTAGCACTGCAGCCTCACAGCGCCAGGGATCCGGGTTCAACTCTACCCTCAGGCAACTGTCTGTGTGGAGTTTGCCTGTTCTCTCCATGTCTGGATGGGTTTCCTCTGGGTGCTCCAGTTTCCTCCCACAGTCCAAAGATGTGCAGCTTAGGTAGATTGGCCATGCTAAATTGCCCGTAGTGTCCAGGGGTGTGTAAATTAGGTGGATTAGACATGGGAAATGCAAGGTCACAGCGTAGGGGAATGGGTCTGGGTGGGATGCTCTTCAGAGGGGCAGTGTGGACTTGTTGTGCCGGATGGCCTGTTTCTACACTGTAGGGATTCTATGAAGGCTCATGGACTGCAACACTCACTATTGCATACTGAATATCCATTCTATGTCTCTCACCCATCTTATCCTCCTAAACTGCCACACCTTGCTGTTCTAGAACATAGAACATAGCACAGTACAGGCCCTTCAGCCCATGATGTTGTGCCAAACTTTTACCCTAAACCCCTACCTCCACCCCTACCTTATACTATAATTCATATACTTATCTAATTGCTGCTAAAATGCCCCTAATGAGGCTGAATCCTCTACCCTCTCCGGCAATGCATTCCATGCCCCTACCACTCTCTGAGTAAAGAACCTACCTCTGACGTCTCCCCTATATCTACTTCCACTCACTTTAAAACTTACTCATTCACTGAGGACAATTCACAACCTTTACTCTCCCACATCTTCAGTATTGTCGCTTCCAGCCACTTCCATCGCACACAACCCCGTTTGTCTCTTTGCAGGAAAACATGTTTCCCAACTGGGCAGAGAGAGCAAAGACCAGTGGAAGGGAATTGGCAGACATAAAGCTCCTGACCCACAATTTGGAGGAAATGCTTGATTTGGCTGGAAAAGAATGTGATCACCAAGTGGGAATGCAGAGACCTCAATACACTCCATTATGCCGTGCTGCATTGCTCTCCCTTTGATGCCGCATTTTCAGCCCACCCAAGCTTTTAGCTTTTTTAGGCAACTAATTCCCTGTCCTCTCCTATGCTGGTGCTAGGAGGACTCAGACAATCTTAGCAAAGGAGAAGGAAACACAGGAGACTCTCTGGGATGGTGTCAAGCTTGTTGGGGTGTTGTTGGGGCCGCACGCATCCAGGCAAATGGAGTATTCCATCACACTACTGACTTGTGCCTTGTAGACGGTGGTCAAGCTTTGGGGAGTCAGGAGATGAGCTATTCGCCACAGTATTCCTAAGCTCTGACCTGCTCTTGTAGCCATGCATTTACGTAGTGAGTCCAGTTGAGTTTCTGATCAATGATAATGCCCAGGATGTTGGTAGTGGGGGATTCAGTGATGGTAACACCATTGAATATCAAAGCGCAGTGGTTAGATTGTCTCTTATTGGTGATGGTCATAGCCTGGCATTTGTGTGGCATGAATGTAACTTGCCACTTGTCAGCCCAAGCTTGGATATATTCCAGATCTTGTTGTACTTGGAAACGGACAGCTTCAGCGACTGAGGAGTCCTAAATAGCACTGAACATTGTGCAATCATTGATGAACATCCCCACTTTGGACCTTATGATGGATCATTGATGAAGCAGCTGAAAATGGTTGGTCCTAGCACACTACCCTGAGGAACTCCTGCAGAGATGTCCTGGAACTGAAATGACCAACCTCTGACAACCATGACCATCTTTCTATATGTCAAGTAGGACTCTATACCACTGGAGAGTTTGCCCCTTGATACTATTGATTCCAGTTTTGCTAGGGATCATTGATGACACACTTGGTCGAATGTAGCCTTGATGTCAAGGGCTATCACTCTCATCTCACCTCTGGAATTCAGTACTTTTGTCCATGCTTGAACCAAAGCTGTAATCAGGTCAGGAGCTCAGTGACCTGGGCGGAACCCAAACTGGACTTCCTGAGCAGGTTATTGCTTAGCAGGTGCTGCTTGATAGCACTGTTGATGACACCTTCCATCACTTTACTGATGATCAACAGTCATCTGATGGGGTGGTAATTGGCCGGGTTGGATTTATCTTGCTTTTTATGCACAGGACATACTTGGCCAAATTTCCACATTGTCAGGTAGATGCCAGTGTTGCAACTGTACTGGAACAGCTTGGCTATGGGAGCCATGAGACTTCATGGGATCCAGAGTCAATGTTGAGGACTCCCAGGGCAACTCCCTCTTGACTGGATATCACTGTGCTGCCACCTCTGCTGGATCTGCCTGCTGGTGAGACAGTACATATCCAGGGATGGTGATGGTAGTGCCTGGGACATTGTCTGTAAGGTATGATTCCGTGAGTATGACTATGTCAGACTGTTGCTTAACCAGTCTGTTTGATAGTTCTCCCAATTTTGGCACTAGCCACCAGATGGTAATATAGATGACTTTGTGGGGTCGACAGGGCTGCTTCTGCTGTTGTCTTTTTCAGTGCCTAGGTTGATGCCAGGTGATCTGTCTGGCTTGATTTCTTTGAGATTTTG